TGACATCAACTTCCTTTACAGTTTTTTCTGTGTATGGCGCGGTGCTCTTCCCCAATCCTGGTCGTGTAGGCTTTAAACATCGTCAGTTAATAAGGCTGATGAATGATTTGAGCAACTAAAAGGAACGGAAAAATTGCAGTATAAGTCTCAACGGGGGACAACGATTATACTAGTCTTGACTTTTACCTGTTCAGTCTTTACTCACTATTTCGTAGTTTAGTGAGCAATAAATGCTGGCAACGCCAATTTTTTGACTGGAGGATGATTGAAGACTCACAAGATGAAGTTAAATATGCCTGTTTTTTGTGCCCAGCTATCACTTGGAGGACGTGATAGTGGGCAAGATCTACTTTCTGCTAGTTCGAGTGAAGATAAAATACATGGAAGTACAGATCCTGCGTCGCGAGTCGACAGGGTTGGGCGCGGTAAATACCTTTACTGATATGGAAACGTTGGCCAAGTTTGAGATTATGGACGGAGCTCCCGTGCGCGGAGAATGTATACCCATCCGCCTCTTTCTTGGCGCCTACGATCTTACGCCCACGATGAAGGACATCAACCGCAAGTTCTCGGTTCGTTACTACCTCAACCTCGTGCTTCTTGATGAGGAGGAGAGGCGCTATTACAAACAGCACGTATGTTAAGGGACTATTTTGGATTTTCTTTTTGCTTTTTGTGAGTGTATTTGCGTATTTGCTCCTAGTTAAAACCCTCATTTTTACGCGTCCAAATAACCAACCACATCTCATCCGCGTTTTACTCAGACGAACCTATGCCACTTTTTAAAACATTCATTCTGAATATGTTGATAATTACTGGACATATGGCTCCATACTCTTTCCACCTGGCTGTCTTTCTATTGTGGCTGAAAAATAATTTCTATTCCCAAGAGAACTGGCTTATTGCATATTATGGAACAGCTACTCTCAATTTCATATTGGTTCTTCATCTTTACTCAGTCACACACTTGTTTTGGTTTTAGAAATGGTAGAGATTGGTTCAAATTGTGCCCTCAAGTTGCATACGATTCACCATTCCCTACTTTTCCTGGCTTCTAAGCCATAACTCAATTGTGATTTAGTTGCATGTCAGCGCAACACATTGTTCTTAAACACTGCCCTGAATCAATATGAAGACGTGTACCCTCATTGTATGGCTATTTTCAATTTCAAACTATGTAAGGTTGTCTTATATGTGCGCGCTTTGGTTTAAACCGATTTTGTGCGGCTGAGAAGAGTACTGTGGAAGTGCGCGCACGGCATTCCACCACTTTGAATTAGCATGCGTGCCTTTCTTTTGCCTACAAAACAGTGATCTGTCTTTCCACTCCAACGCATCCAAGCTAGAGCTTTTTCTCTCAACGCCGCCTTTTACTCATCCACCTACTAGTGTATGGGTGAAGTGTCGCTGGCAAAGCATTCAGAGGTTATGTTGATTTTCCTGAAATCGTAGATGTTCGTTGTGTGGTGGAGTTAGAGTAAAGCCAAGCTTTTCAACGCACCTACTATCAAGCTTTTGAAGGTGAGTCAACCGCAACAGATGATAAAAATATGTCGTGGTGTCGTTGGTTTTTTTTTAAGACTAAGAGTGTCTCGAAACTCTTTTACTGTTACAAGCCGAACTATTCTTTTTGCTACTTTTGTATTGATGCAACCAGTGACAATGAATTGCATTTCCGTATTTCACTGCCATCATTGACATGCTGCGGTCACATTAATGCATTTTCTGATGATATGGACCAGTTTCACTGATGTCCAAGGCAGCGATTTGGGGTGTTGTTTGCCACCGCCTTTGTGATAACAAACTTCCTCCTCTACAATCATTATGCACCAATTAGCGGAGTGATGATGCGGGTAGGAATGATGTTGTTACGAAGTTGGATATTTTTCCGCTTTCACTGCCTTATTAAATGAACCAAAGGTCAGGATTACACCAACCAGAAACTAACGACCAGTTCTAAAGTGTTTGAGCACTTAAATGAATATTTTGACACCATTTTTCTTTGAACAGAATTGGATTTCTAATCACTTGAGTTCCATTTCTTATTCGATAATTATCCCTGAAACTTATCATAAGGAAATCATGCTGTAAACGCTGTTTCAAGCATGTTAAAGGTAGTCGGCAGTTATTTGCTTCACTTTAGTTCAACTAATGAATCTTGTCACGGTTCCTAATTGCGAGTTATAAAACAAGTCCATTTTTGTTATTTATAAACAAAGCTCGCACTGT